ATATGGGATTACAATTATTTTTTCTGATGCTTTTCATTATTATTCACAATTGCTTTTGAAGCTACAAGTGAATTTTTTTTTTGCAGTAGTGGAGATTGAACCCAGAGCCTTCCCATAGAGCTCCATTCCCAGCCTTTTATTTTTATTTTGAGGCAGGGTCTTGCTAAATTGCCCAGGCTAGGCTCAAACCTTTGACACTCCTGCCTCAGTATCCCACAGTGCATGGGTTACAGGTGTAAAACACTCTTGGTTATCTAACCCTGTCCCTCATCTGAGCTATGTCGCAGTTCTCAGTTGTGTCCTGGCCTTGGGAAACACACTTAGACCCAGGGATGGTGAGAACCAATGAGACCAGTGGGGCAGGGCTTGTCCTGTTGGGGTTCTCTGGCCACCTGCACTTAAGGAAGCTCCGTTTGTTGTCATCCTGGTCTTGTGCCCACTGACTGTTTGGGGGACACTGCTGTCACCCTGGTGTCTCACCTGGAACCCAAGCTTCATTCTACCCAGTGCATTTCTTCCTCTCATCTCTCATTCATTCATGGTCCTCTGCTTGGCCTGCAGTGTCCTTGGCCTCATGTTGGCCTGGCGCAGCTCTTGGCGGCTGCGTGGCTCACTCCACACCTCTCTCACTGGGCTGCACTGGGTGTGTCGCCTGGGTGTGGTACCCATGGTGATCCCCATGTTCACCCCTCTTATTTACAGCCTGAGAACCAAGGAATATCCTGGGAGTAAAGTTTACATGCTTAGAAAAATATTGTTCAAAATAATTGTGTGATACACACATTTTACTAGGAAAATACTTGGGACATTTTATGTTTTGATTAATTGCTTACATTATGTCTAGAATGGTGCGAACTCCCATAGGGTATGTGTCTGGTTTTCAGTTTTTATTACCCAATAGAAGGATAAGGTGACATTTTGTCAATATTTCATTGTCTATACCACAGAGTTTATTATACAAGGTGTGCATTTGACACAGTTTAAGTGGTTTAGAAGGTTAAGATCAACATGGAAACATTCGGAAGTTTGAACAGCTTGACACCCTGTCCCCGTTACTTTTACCTGATATACTCAGCTTCAGCCTTTGTAGCTCTAGATAGACTTTGACATATTTGTTTTTAAGGACTTAATATGGATGCACCTTAGGCAAGCTGTCAAGAAGCAAATGCCATTTTTTTTTTACCCTGAGCTCTATTCAAACTTTGGAAGGAGAAATTCCAAAACAACATAAGAAGGAAAAACAGAAGAAAGCAGTTACAAACAATCCCAGTTCTCTAAATGAACAATGAGCCAATGAAGAAGTGAATTGCCCAACACTGAACTCTAATTTTCCTCTAAGACCTGCAAACACATAAAATTAATAACTTTTATTATAACCCTGAATTCCTCACATAGAAAATTATTTATTTGTAATTTGGAGAACAATCATCCAGGTAGAAGCTTTGTCTAACCCTATTTAGTATTCATGCTAAAAGTCATCTTCATTCAGCATCCAAAGCCAACTTGTTCTGTGTGGTTTCCTCTCTAGAGATCAGGGCATTTTGTATCTGGATTCTGGGAAACATTGCATGAAGACCGATATTGGTACTTTCTTTTCACTGCACTGCAGTTAGTGCCAAAGTCTAGGGACTCTGCTCCTCCCCACAGTTTATGGGGTCTCTGAATCCTCCACTAAGTGGTCTTTTGACCTGTTTTCACCTCACACCTGCCCATTTCTACAGGAATCCCGCAAGTTTACACAGAGCCCCCCATGGTCTGGGCAGCTGGGATGAAGTCCCACCTGCTGCTGGACTGCAAACCCCACTGACCTGCACTGCATCTGACAAAGCCCACTTCTATCCTGGAATCTGGAGTCTCTTTTCCCTATGACAATAGTGCTTCAATAAAATCCTTTTGTTTTCTTTTACATAGTCTAGTGGAAGCAATAAAGCTTTGGGTTCAAATTGACATCAAAATAAATTCAATAAGATGAGGAAGAACACTGGGGAAATTCTTTCAGGTCCATATGATGGGATCATTTCCAGTGCAGAACAAGATGTTAGGAAATGAATCATCATCATTAACTGCGCAGAAGCCCCTGAGATATAATGAGGAAGACAGTGCATTGTGTGGCTTCTGTCTCTTCAGTGTTTGGAGCATTAATTTTTCAGTCATATTTCACTCATTAATTACATTTGTGGTGTGTAGGTACAAAACACCACTGTACTAATTGGCAGGTAGGTGGGGAACTCTGAAAAAGATGCATGTCCAACTTGAGCTTCTTGCCAATATAGAAGATGAATCTTTATTTACCAGCTGCAAGAAAATCATGGCAATAAAATAAGGATAAAGCCCATGCAGGGAAGATAGTGGTAGTAATGAGCTAGTATCTCAGAGGGACCTGTAGTCCTGTGTGAATGAGATTACTCAACCCTCAGCAGATCCTAGGAATAACCAGGGAGACTGCAGAGAAGGGGCGGATGGGCAGGACAGCAGAGGTTCCAGGGGAAGACTGCAGAGGGCAGGGCTCAGTGTCTCCCATGGTTTTCCTGACATTACACATCTGGATAGTTTAAGCATAGATCCTAACTATTACGCAAATTCCCTGAAGGCTTCTGTTCACTCAGAGACTGTGGGCTTTGCTGGCTCTTTAAATCTTCCTCAGATATTTAGAACTCTTTAAAAAAATGTGTTCTTGGGGCCAGGGGTTTAGCTCAGTGGCTTCACTGCCTGCTGCACAAGTGCAAGGACCCAAGTTTGATCCCCAGTATCAAAAAAATAAATAAATAAAATAAAATAAATAAAAAATGTGCTCTGAGCAGGAGGAGGCAGCTAGGGGTGGGCATCCCTAATCACATGGGTCTTTCCCAGGGCTTCCTATTCCCCCCAGACCTTCTCAGGGCTTCTGGTTCTTCACTGACTTCTAAGCAACTCTCTCTCTTTCTACACAGCTTTCAACCAGCAAACACCCTGTCTCTAAAAGACCCTGTATTTGACTAAGAAGTTGTGAGAGTATGCTTCCAAATATGGATGGCATTCTTGCTAAGAGGAGTCTAGTGCCACACTTGGGGAACATGGAAGAAAAATAATAATGCTACCCCACTGTTTGTTGTGGAGCATCAGTAATTATGGTTCGATTTGTGTATAGTATGTAGGTTCTACAGCTACCAGAATTTTATACTAAGCCCTATTTTGTAGTCAATTAGGCATTTTCAGGAGACTGGTGTGCATTTATTGATGGATATTTGGTCACCTTTGGTGTCACCTATCATTGTCCCTGGTCCAGCTCATCTGTCAGCTGTTACCCAAGCCTGTTTTGGTGCTAAGAGCGAGGTGGGTGGGATCCTGGGGCATGCAGCCTGCAAGGGAGAGGTTAGTCAAGTTGGAACCCTGAATCAGATGTCTGAGAGGCTCCAGGAGGTTGAGGGGCTGGGGCTCCATTCCTCAGGGACATTGCTCCTGGTTCAGGGGTGGGAGAAGGTGGAGAAGAGCCCGGGAGAGGTGTAGAGGTTAAAGCTTCAGCAGTGAAGATCTGGAGAAGGAGACAGGCAGAGAAACCTTGTATTTTACTGACTGCAATAAAAACATGAAGAGCAGTCAAGAAAGAGCCTCATGATTTGAGCTAAGCGTTCAGAAAGAAATGAGCTAGAATGCTGTGAAGTAGGCATGGACTCTCATGCAGGAGGGTGAGGACGGGGGAGACATCAGGGCTGCATGAGACCCCTCTGTCTGGGCTGTGCAGTGCAGACTGAGCTGAGCGAGTCCTCTCTGTCCCAGGGCCCACAGTGGGCTTCAGACCCAGACTCCAGCCTTCCCTGCACTGGGCCGGCACTGACACCACATCTCTCCACTGCAAAGGAGGAGAAGGCCAGGGTCAGTGCACATCTGCACGTGCAGCTGGAGTCTCAGTGCCCTCATGCTGACTAAGCACGGTGCAGCTGAAGTCCAGTGAAAATGATTTCTAACAAACACCTTCAATGAGCCATTTTCTTCCCAAAGTAACATGACAAGCAATGTTGGCATATCTCACATAGGAATACATTAAAATTTGAAGGGAGGTGTCCATTCAGAGTGGAGCGGCTTCAAAGCACTCAAACTCATACAGGGACAGTGCAGGAGCCTAGACGTTGCCGAGAGAGGACTTAGATACTTGTAAATAAATTCCCTTTTGCACATTGGCTGGTGTCCCTACTGCTACTGAGCAGCAGATCCGAGGCCCAGAGAGGAGAGGAGCTGTGGGTCCTGATCCCAGCCCTTCCTGTACCGTTCATCTCCACACTGACTGGACTCAACCTTGTCTTAATTTAATGAGACAATTACATCATAACAAGATGTTTCCTGTGCCTCAGATTATACACAACTTACCTGGGTCACTGTGAAGACGGGGTTGTGTAGAGAGCTTTATCCGCTTTGTCCTATTATTAAGGTTATACGATATTTGGGTGCTGAAATCCATACAGTTGTTTTATTGGCTAGAGAGGTAAAGGTGCTAATGTTACTAAAAATAAAATCAAAGATCAACCTTCTCTTCTAGGTTGCTTAATTGAAATAGTGCCACTGCTCCTCATAGGAAATGTGTTCAGAGCCAGGTTTAGATTTAGATGAAGGACATCTGAGGTGCGAGCCAGTGGAGATGGAGAATTAAAGCTGGTGAATGGATGTGGACCCAGGAGAGACCTGACACTTGATTAAATATGGATAGTGGAGTGGGGTTGTGTGAATGCAAGATTTAGAGCTTAAGAGCAAAAGATGAGATTGCAGGAGAGACAGTAAATGTAGACACTTCTATTCTGACAATTTTGTTTGAAAGTCCTCTATAGTGACTGAGCGAGATTCTCCTATTTAGCAGCATACATCACATGGAAACCAAAGCAACAGTGGAAGAAGGATTAGCTTTAGGGGGGCTGAGGGAGATATTCCTTGTTGTAAAGGAGGGGAGGGAGGAAGCATGTAATAGGAGTAGGCTGGCTGTGAGTGTCTGTGTGTGTGTGTGTGTGTTTAAATGTTGCACACACCTGATGGCTTCTGTTTCCTCTACAGTAGAAGGTCCCAGAATGCTCCACAGTGAAGGTCTAACCCCCCTTGGGAGACAGTCTCCCTCTTCTCCCTGGGCGATCCCAGCAGTGCACTAATTGCTTGCTGTGGATACTTGCTTTCCTGGGGACTCCATCACCACACACAGCCCTCTCTCATTCCAGGCTTTCTATTCCCCACACAAGGACCTCTCAGGGCCAAGTCACCACCATTGCTTCTCAGGGTAGGCTCCACTGCAGTCCTCAACACATCAGTCTGCAGCCAGCTGACATGTGGGTCAGGAAATCTGTGATTTGGAAGAAACACAAAGCTAAGAAAAGGTTTCCTGAAGATACAAAATGTGAACATACTTAACCCATCCTGGCCATAAGCATGGTTTGGTCTGTTTAGTCATACTTGAGTACCTGGTATCTTGCTGGACTCTAGAAAAGTGAATGACGTTGGCAATTACAGTTCCTGTCACAGCTGAGTTTGTCCTATTATTAAAGTGATGATGCTTTGTGAGACAGGTAAATGATGTGGATTTCTGATTTTTCCTATCAGGTATGGAAATGAGCTATTACTGAACCCAAGTTGATGTCCTACAATTGGTAAGTACATCAAAAATTTAAAATTTAGTCCTCTTTTATAAGCACACCATAGACAGTGGTAACGACAGGGTAATTGAGATGCACAGACAGGGACACAGGGAGACAGAAATGGTGCCCTGAGCCCTGCTGGTCAGGAGCCTCTTCTGCTGTAGGACAGTGAAGCAGAGATGTGGCTCCCAGTGGGCAGATCAGGGCCCTACAGGTGGGGTGTGAGCTGAGGTTAGGAGGCCCCCAGGGCTTCCCGGTGCAGGTGTTTGCATTTGCAGTCACCCATGGTGAGTATTTGTGTTTTGCACCTTCTGAATATGTGATATTTCACAATTTTCAAAAATGTCCACTCTCTCTACTTCCCCTCACTTTTGCTGTGACCTCCAAGTAATCTCAAACAATAATCATCTTTCAAGTAATAACTTACAATGTAAATATTTCTTGAAAATGAACTTTTATGTTTTACTGGTTAAGAATCCAATGCTTTCCAGAGGATGCCTCTTTTCCTGACTTCCAGCACGGTGGATTTACTCTGTGTTGAGTCACTGCATTTTTCTGGGACTTGGGGGTTGCTGGGTGGGGATTTGTGAGGCCAAGGACACTTGAGGAACCTTAGGCCGGGTGCTCTCCTGACCAACTGGGTGGCTTTGAACCTGAGCAGATCCTGGGGAATCTCTCACCATGGGCCTGATGATTTCACTGACTGGGAGAGGGTGGTGACAGCTGGTGCTTCGGGGAGGCAGAGGAGAGAAGCTGATGTCACCCCTGCTGGGCCACTCCCAGCCAAGAGAGGCCTTGGTCACCCATTGCAGCTGGTCCCAAAATTCTCCTCATGGGGCAGCTGAGGAGTGGAAGGGCTGGAACCCCTTGGCACATGCCAAGGAGTAATCAGAGCCCAGCCCAGACCTCTGGGGAGGCTCAGGGTGGGCACAGGGGGTGAAGGGCATTCTTGTACACACCCTGGAAACCTCCTGTCCCTGCCACACTTGCCACACCAGCAGGTTCAGGACCAAGAAGGGAGCAGGTGTGGAAGACACAGCCCACCCCACCAGAACTTCTACTTCCTGAGCACCTTCTCGTGTTCTGTCTGATTCTGGCTGATGCTCTGGCCCACGGTCTTCCACAGAGCCTCCTATAAGGAAAGGGGAGAATCTTATACAGCTCTCCACATCTGCCTCACAGTCAGGATGATTCCAGGAGTGGCCTCTGCCTCCCTCTCTGTCCCTGAGGACCACTTGCCCCTGGACCTCCAGAGTGGTCATTCCTGGGTCCACCATCCAGGGAGGAGGAGGGGGCAGGGCAGGAAGCAGCACTTTCTGCAGGATTAGACTTTTAAAGACACCAACACAGAAGTGCCTGAAGCTTCACTCCAGCTTCCATTTTGGCTCACTGTTGCTTTATTTGGCTTCCTGACACAGTCCCAGTCCAGCTAGTTCCCTGACACTAACCACTTCCAGTTTCCCTTAGTATTTTAGATCCAGAAATCCTGCAGAGAGAGTGACCCTGAGAAGTGACACTTGCAGTGCCTCCATCCTCCACAGGAAGTGCTCACTGACACAGTAGTGCACATTCTGCACCCAGGCTTCCAGTGTATCAGGTGCTCACTCTGCGCTTAGCTTATTCTATCAGGAGATCTCTGCAGAGGTGAACTTCAGGTCAGTGTGGGCTTAGAGATTCTCGAGGAAGTAGTCTAGGATACAGCATGGACACTGAACTTCACTGGGTTGGGCACAAGGGGAGAGCAAGAGGTGAGTGCCTGGATCCAGAAGGCTTTGCATCTTGGGTGATGCCTGGGCAGAGAGGCTGCAGGAGACTTCCTGTGATGAGGCTGGTGGTATCCCTGTCAGTGGTGCCAGTGAGAAAAGGCACAGAAGTCAGGACATCGGGGAGGTGCCAAGTTGCTGGGTGTGGTGGCCTGGAGAGGGAGGTGTGTGTCTTGGTGGGTCCCACAGGGCACATCCTGTGTGTGCCTCAAGAGTTTTGCATGCAGCACACATGGCAGTTGTTCTGGTTACTGAGTGAGAATTAGGCAAAGATCATTGGGTTCACTACCCATTCTGCAGCTCACATCACACAGTTACTTTCCTTATCACCCTTCCCCTTTTTCTAACTCAATCAACCCTACAGAGCCAAATAAGATCTGCTGAGTCAGTCTCATGCAAAATCACTACTATTTCTAGTTCTTTAACCTGGATTTTAAAGCCCTTCACAATCTAAACTACAATTATTCCCTTTAAAATTTTAAATTTTTTCCTTTCTTCATGCACAACTAACTCATTTTAAGAACCCACGAGGAGCATACCTTCTTGGATTCCACATAGTTTGGTCCTACTTCAAGCCTCCGTCTTTGTTGTTGATTTTGTGCTGGTGGCAAAGCCTGGGCTTGCTTCACTTCTTCTCTCAGTATAGTGTGACCATTCTTTTTGGGGACTTGTGTGGATGTCTGTGTCTCCCCATTCCTTTTAACTCTCCTCTGGTTAGTGCAGACCTTCAGCACACAGACAGGTGGGCATGAGAAACGCTGGGAAAGATGCAGGAAGGTGACTGAGCTGCTGTCCAGGGCATGTCGTCCCAGGAGGAGGAACTCAGCCCACACAGGCCTGGTCCAGCTCTGCTGCTGCTTCACACTGGCAGGTGCCACCCACTGGCTGACTGTGACAAGGGCTTTGAATTGGGAGTCTGGAATCAGATAGAAACTTTGCAGAATGAAAATTGTGCTGTTTTTCACATTTCTCTACTATTCTCATTATGAAAACAAAGTACAGCTGAGGATTTTTCTCAGCGGCTCTACACCTGCCTCGCAAGCACAAGGTCATGAGTTTTATCCCCAGTACCGAAAAAAAAAAAGTACAGGTTCATTTTATATCCTCAGTTCACCCCTTAGGAATCACGAGTACATTTAACACTGGACTCTCAGCTACTTTTCTCCACCTTATTTCCAGTTAACATCCTCACTTCCATGGTTCTCTCCCTGCAGCAAAAGCCCGACTTCCATCAGGAGAATGTCCACAGGCCCTGCCTGAGGTCTCCCACAGTGATGTCCTTCTCCACCATCTTTATGTCAACATCGGACCACCATTTCCAAAACAGAGAGCATCATTCTACTGTCAGTGAGGGGACTTTGATGTTGCCTCATTGCCTATATGGAAAAGTTAAGCACTTTACTTCTAGAGATTTATATGAGTTTTCATTTTGTTTTGTTTTGTTTTGGTACCAGGATTGAACTCAGGATCTTGTGGCTGTGAGGCAGGTGCAGCACCACTGAGCTAAATCCCTGACCCTATCTGAGTTGTTAAAAAGCACATTATAAGTGCTTCTATAGGAGTAACATCCCTTGAGCTCTTTTTAAAATAATATGTATTATTTTGGGGTAAATATTTTTTCTTGAGTACCAAAGAGTTTTAGCCAGCCAGTCTAATGTCTAAATTATGTATATATCTTAAGGATATCTTTCTATGTTTTGGCCATTTAATCAGCGAATGAAGTTGTGATGGTATGAAATAGTTTGAATTCATGTCGTGTTTTTGGTGCTCCCAGTGCTTTTCTGTTTCCTGTTAATTATTGCTAACCTTGTCCCCATGTCAAAAATGATCTTCCCTGCCCCTTCACTCCCAACTCATCCCCAGATAAGGGTCTGATTTCATTAGCTTCATTAGTAAACACTTCTTATTTGGAAATAATCCTTTTCTCATATACCATTCTTCAAACCCTTTTTGAAAAAAATATTTATTTTATTCAGCCTCCAAATATCCCTTTGAAGTGTATATTATTCACTGTGTAACTGTTCATTTTTTCTTTTGCCCCCAGGTCGACTGTAGATGCACAGATGGCCCTACCATTTTCTCGTGAAGGCAGGAGCAGAGAGGTGTATAGAATTAGGAGAAGGTCAAGCCCATGGAGATGCCATTCCCCCATTAAAATGCCCTCGTCTTCTGCAGGGACACAGCTCTAGACAGCGTGCTAGGACCCATGGTGACTGTTGTCAGCCTCAGACGACCCCACAGGTGGAAGCACCTGAGATTCCCTTTCCCGAGGCCGACTCGCTGGGCTGGAGCACAGGGGCATCATGTGAAGTCCCAAGTCAGAACCCTGGAGGGAGAGAGGAGCAGTCTGGGTGTGTCAGCACAGGCCATCCTCTCTGCTCTCATGTCCTGCTGCTCTGGAATCAACTGTCCTGTGCCTCTGCCCAGGGCTCTGTGCAGGCCAGTGGTGTGGTACCCATCGGGATGGGGCAGGGCAATGACAGTGCCCTGCCTGGGTTCATCCTCCCCAGCTTCTCACACACCTTGGCCTGGAGCCAGTGCTCTTGCGGCTTTCCTCCTCCACTACCTCCTGACCCTGCTGGGGAACATCACCATCATTGTGGACTCACACCTGGATCCCCTCTGCTCATCCCCAGGTACTTCCTCAGTAACCTGTCCTTGCTGGGCCCCGGCTTCACCACCAGCCTGGCCCCTCAGACTGTGGTGAACCTGCGGGGCCCAGAAAGGACCATCGAGTACGGGGCTGTGTCATGCAGCTCCACATGTCCCTGGCCCTGAGCTCCACCGAGTGCATCGTCTTGGTTGTGGTGGCCTTGGATCACTATGTTGCCATCTGGAAACCTGGCCTGGGACTCCTGGCTCAATGAGGTGGCCAGTTCCCCGGTCCATGCCACCTTCACCTTGTGGCTGCCTCTGTGTGATAACCACAGGCTGGATCACTGCATTTGCAAGGTCCCTGCGCTCCCCAAGCTGGCTTGTGTGGACACCATGGTCAACGGACAGGTGCTTACTCTGGTGAGCATCCTGTTCCCCATGCTGCTCCTTGTGCTCATCCTCGGGTCCTACAACTTCAGAGTGCAGGCCCTGCTGAGGATCAAGTCTGCAGAGGTGCAGCACAAGGCCTGCAGAACCTGCTCCTCGCACCTGATGGTGGTGGTCATCTTCTATGCACCATCATCTACATGTACCTGCAGCCCCAGAAGAGCTACGCCCAGGACCAAGGCAAGTTCATCTCGCTCTTCTACACCATGGTGACCCCCACCTTGAACCCCGTCATCTACACTCTGAAGAACAAGGACCTGAAAGAGGCTCTAAAGGAACTCCTCTCAGGAACACTGCATCTACAGCGCATGCAAGGTGCGCAGAGTCGACTCTGAGCTGGAGTCTCTCAGAGAGATTGGCCAGACCCCCCACTCTAAACTCTGCCCCAGTTGATGTGCTGCCCTCTTATTGGTCTTTATGACTGATTTTTGTCTCCCTTGTATGGTTCAGCAAACTGTACGTGAGTCCATTTAAGTGGAATCTTGGGCCAGATAAACCATGCTGCACATGTGATTACACTGTGATTCTCACCACAAGACCCATGGGTTCCTTCTGACAGATTCTGACACTTGGGAAAGTAAATCATTAAATTTTACTGACTATTTCTCTAGGATAGGAGGTTTCCATTTTGAAAAAATTCAATGAAATGTTCAGTTTCCCGTGAAATAAACAGTTTGTATTTTCTGTCTAGTGCCCTCCTATTAAAGTGTTACATTGGATAATGGGCAATTTCTACTAGGATTTGTCTTCCAAAGCAGAATAAATGCCTGATCACACTCCCCATTAACATCACAGCATCTATTTCTTTCCATAAGTCATTTCCCATTTAAAGATATATTTCAAGAGTTCAATAAGGGATTATAGAAACCAACCACACTGGCCACACTATTTCTTGTTAACTCAGTAAGGGCATCGCGTTCTGTAGACTAGGGGTCACTGTGGGCATCATAGATTCAGGCCTCTTGGAAGGAAAGATAATCTGATGTTAGTTTTACAACAATAAGAATAATCAAAATTCAAAAGACATCCTTTGCTTTTTGTGAAAAGTAGCTTTACTGAGATGTGATGACACACACAGGAGTGTGTCTGCATCTGGATGCACACAATCAAATGTTATCATGCTCTGATCACCCAAAAAGGGCTCAGCTCATGGTCCTCTCTGTCCTTGGGAAGTGTCCTGTGCCTTCTGCTCTTGCTCTGTGAGGTCACTGCAGGAGAGCCCCTCAAGTCTAAGTGCACAGATGTGTGGTGCCCGGGGGCCCCTCCAAGACACGGGGCCCTCCCAGTGGCTGAGACTTTGCATTCCCTCAGCAGAAGTCCAGCTTCCTCCTCCTACACACCTCAGCTGACTCAGGTCTGGTGTCCACTCGCATGTCCACAACTTATCTTCTTCACTGAACATCATATCCTCCAGGTTCATCCATGTAATGATGATTAAAGAATTTCCTGCCTTTCACAGCAGAACTCCTGCACCCTACATTTGTGCACTTTCAAAGCAGAAGGTCAGAAACAGAGCTCTGCAATCCTGGAGGGTACTCTCTCTCTCTCTGCTCTTCCCTGTCCCAGGCCCTGGACATTCTGGACATAACAGAAAACAGAGCTGACAACACACCGAGTGGGCAAAGTACTCTTTAGGAGAAAGACTAGAGCTGGGACCACATAATACTTGCCTTCAAACCACATCAGGATTTATAACTGTTTTATTATAGCATGGTAGAGACATGAAAACAGGCATCTTGACAAGTGTAAGACAAGAGAGCCCTTCAAATGAACCCACACAATTATAGTCCAGTGATTTTCAGCAAAGTTGCACAGAACACACAGTGGGCAAAAGACAGCCTTCAATAAAAGGTGCTGGGGAGGCTGACATCTACATGCAGAAAAATGAAACTGAGCCAGACCTATCTTACACCCTGCACAAAGTACTCATGCAAACTTGATTAATGACTTATCCATAAGACTTGACACTCAAGATCCTAGAAGACAATGTAGGAAATCCCTCTTGACATTGGTCTTTGTAGAGCTGTTGTTTAGATAGAATATTAAAATCTCAAACAGCAAAAGCAAAAGTAAACTAGTGAGGCTACAGCAAATAAAAAGCTTGTGCATGGCAAAGAGAAATAGTAAACACAGTGAAGACACCTTAAGGCATGGAAGCACATACTTGCCATCATATAGCTGGTAAGAGGTTGATATCTGAAATGCAGAAGGCACTCACAGATCAGTAAGGAAAACAAAAGAAGAAACAGGATGCAACAAAAGCCGTTCAAGGGAGCAGGTTACAGTGACAAATGCCTACACTGAAAATAAAGAAAGATATCCACACACAACCTAACTTTGCACCTCAAGGAACTGTGAAAAGGGAACAAATTAAGCTCAGGGTTAGCAAGATAAAGAGAATAAAAATGGCCAGAGCCTTAATAAACAAAATAAAGGAAAACAAAATTGTTATATGCCTGCATGAATCTGTCTAAAGGAGACCATTAATCTGTGTAGTCAATTACAAAAAAGAATCCTGACCATGGAAAATAAAGTATCACTTGCAAATTCAATAAAATGGCACCACTTGAATAGGACCATAAAAGCTAAAAAATCAGTTATCTGGGATAACTTGAAGTTATTAATATCTCCAATTGTTCTCTGGTAATACAGCTAGTGAACAATGGGAAAATATTGAACACACACATACACAGGCAAAGAAAAAATAGAGCCAGGAGTTTATAAAGATAAATGAATCTGGCTAGAAAATAAGGAAAAATAGAGAAGACTCAAAGGATATAATTATAAACAAGACACGTCACAACTGATAGAACTGAAACCAGAGAAATCTTTTCATACACCCCCAGTCTGGGCAGTTGTAACAAAA